TCTCTCAAAAGATGGATTATGAAAGTGTAAGCTCTCAAGTAAGTTTTTTTGGACTAACTTAGATCTGAAAAAGGGAGAACACAATAGAAATCACAGAGATTGAAAATGATGCTAAGTATACAAAGTGTAGTTACAGTAATGTGTTTTTCATTTTTTTAGATCTGGAAAAGATCCAGATTTATAGCCTTCATCCGACTTAACTTTTGAAGAAGAGAAAACACACCCACGTGGGTTTACTAACCGCTGGAGCTGAGCAAGGAAAAGGTTTCCAGCTGTTGTAAATGAAGCATGGCTGGTACAGGCTGTTATTTGACCATTGGAGATGGAGCTTCCTCAAAGGAAGTGATGTCCATGCTTGGGAGATAAAACAATGGTGAAGGGATATAATGTTGTCTCTAAGCTTTTTCTTTTTCTGATCTTGAGAGTGGTGTGAGTGAAGAATGTTCCCTCCATTAAGTCAGAAAATATTATCCCAAAGTTCCTTTTTGATTAGAATAATATATGTCTGATGATGATGTCACAGAGACCCTCTTTGAGTTAGAAGATGGCGGCTAGGTTATGTTCAACCCAGTCATAATGGTGTCAACCCCTGCAGATTGGGTTTCGACCCTTTGCTCTGAATTTTCTTTCCTGAGTTGATTTTCATGTGTTCCAAGTGTCGACCCTTATCTCATTTGGTGTCGACCCTTGCGGCTGAAGTGTATACTGCTTTTTGGTGTCGACCCTTACATCTGGAGTGTATACTACTTTTTGGTGTCGACCCTTGCTGCTGTTGGTGCCGGCCCTTACATCTGGAGTGTATACTGCTTTTTGGTGTCGACCTTTGCTGCTGTTGGTGTCGACCCTTGCATCTGAAGCACTTAGTCATTTTTCTAACTTCTGTCTGGTGTCGACCCCTGCTTTTCTGGTGTCGATCCTTTGTTTTGGAACACTTAACATTCTTGAGGATTATTCTAGTGTCGACCTTTGGACCTATGTTAGACAAAGATAGAGTTTTCCAACCAAGAGCTAATGCTTATATTTTTGATGACCCAAAAGTTATTGAACATAAAATTCTCGAGTCCCAAATCAATTAGAATCATGAAGCACAGAAACTAATTTGAAAACTTCACATAATCAGAAGAATAAAATATTTGTCATTAATCAAAATCAATAGAAATTCAAGTATGAGTAACCTTGGGGCTAACAATCTCTCCTTTTTTGATGATGACAAATATTTAAAGTTTTCAAACTATATGTAAAAAAAAGGTATGAGAGGAGTTTTCGAGAATATAGGTTTTGAAAAGAATCGAAAACTCCCCCTATATATGGGGCTTCATGACCAAAGCAAGGAGAGTGAGAAAAGTATATGTATAGGTAATATGATAACTTGATATAGAACAAGCTCCCCCTGTCAATGTGCATTGAACCATTCAATTGTAAAAATTAATTTTTGTTTATTTTGAATGAAATCACAAGCATTGAATGAGATTACAAAAAGTTTCATAAGTTTCCACGAGCTTATGTATAAAAGACATAATAAATTAACGACACGCTTTATGGTAACAAGTTTCACCAAAGCAACACAAAACAAAATCTTTCCAACTTGTGTTACCAAAAGAGGTTTGTAATCAAGACATGTACAACCATCCAAGACATGTACAACCATCTATTTCAACTGGTTGCTACCCTGAGAGAAATACAAACTATGCAACATACATATATATATCCAACCAACAACCAAAAAGGATAAAAATTTTAACACTATAGTCTGAGTGACACCAAAAATATAAATATTGACACAAAAAGATTTTTAACCATTGTGGATCCTTCTCCCCCTTTGTCATCAACAAAAAGAGGTGGGCTGCTTCAGCGAAAGGGAGGAGGAGGACGAGGCCAATGTGGGGCAGCTTCGTGCCACTATTAGGAAAACCACAACATGAATTTGCGAATTTGCTCACCTAAATCGTCGTTCTAGTGCTGCTAAAAGATTTGCTGAAATTCTTCGTTGGAGGCTTTGATCCCGTAGACAGCTATTACCAAGCTCTCAACATTGTCTTTTGCAGTTGCAATGACTTGTTCTTGCTGCAGCTTCATGCGGTTAATGTCTTTCTGCATGGCAGTCTGCTGAGTGACAAGTTGTAAAACCAAGGCGCTCAATTCATCAATCTTTTCTTCCATGGAAGAGGATGAGGAGGCAGGGATAGTGTGAGAAGATGATGGAATGGTAGAGGCAAGAATAGAGGTAGACCTTAGGTTTAGATTATTAAGCCTAGAGTTAATTGAAGCAATCCCATCAAAGAGGGGACCCTGAACCAAGGAATCAAGATGGTCAATTTTAAGAGATAGAGAGGAGAGATCAGAAGAAGATGGGGGAGAAGAGAGATTAGGAGAGGAGAAGTGACGAGTGGAGGAATTGGGAAGGGAGGAACCAGGGGTAGAGAAACCAGGGGAAGAGAGACTAGGGGCTTGCTTGGTTTGTTTTTCATAAAAAATTTTGGGAAAATTTCTCTACAAGCAAATTTTCAAGAGTAATCAAACCAAACAAATTTTTCCAAAAAAAATCTCAAAATTTTGTTTGGTTACCTACTTTCCAAAATCACTTTCTCTCTCATACACATCAAATCAATCACTTTTTTTAAAACTCTCTCCCCAAAACAATTTTCCACAACCATTTCTGAAAAAAGGCAAACCAAATAAGTTTTTGTACTTTTTATCTCAAAAACTACTCTACAAACACAAACCAAACACACCCTAGGTTTTTTGGTTTTGGTCCAGATTCGGTTGATAAGAGAGTATCCCATATTACGCAGAGTTTTAGCCCCATACCGAGAAGGATCTCGAGGTACTTTTTCTTCCCCCTTGAGGTCAATGTTGAAATGCTTTAAGAGTTTTGTGAAAATCATTCCAAAGGAAAGAGCCTGATTATTTTGTTTGTGAGCCTGAATGATATAGTGAGTTACCAGAAAGCCAAAATCAATGAGGTAACTAGTGGCTAGAGCCCAAATGAGAAATGTATGTCCATAAGTGATGGCATCGAAATGACCAGAACGGGGAATGATGCTGTGTGTGATGATGTGATGGAGTAGTTTTAGTTCGAGGGAAAGGTCTTTCCCAGAGACGGTGGCATTACTATGTAAATCGGGGTTATTTGTGATGAATTGAAGACCGATAAGGTGAGAGTAATTGGGAAAGTTAAGGGCACCAACAGTTGGTATGACCCTTTCATTGTCATTGGAAGTTTTTAAAATGGAGTTCATGACAGTGGGATTTAAAGTAAAAGACACACCCTTGACAAAACACTCGAGGGTATGAGAAGAGGATTGAGTATCATAAGAGAGATTTGCAAAGAATTCCTTGATTAGTGTGGGGTAAATGACACAATCAAGTTTTAACAAGGAGGACCTTTTTTGGTTGTCGAACCAAGTTTTTATAGGAATAGAATGCTTCTCAAAGAATGCAAGATCAATGGTTCTGCCAGAAATTACCTTTCGTCAATTGAAATCCTTGTTGAAGGATGATCGAGCTTCATTGTTCTTGAAGCGTTAGACAGAGGAAGAGGTAGCAGCGACTGAGGAGGTGGAGGAACGAGGACGCTTTTTGGTTTGAACTAGAGGAGGATCTTGAGATTTCATGGTGAGAAGAAGGAGGGCGGTCGCTAGTAGGTGGGAAGAAGATTGGAATGTGGATCGCCGGAATAGGAAAATAGGTTAGGGCTAGGGATTTAAAGGTGTCGTAAGAGGGATAGGAAGGGTCGAGGAGTATATATATATATATAAGAGGGTGTCGACCCTCGAAAAGAGAGGTGTTAACCTTTCGAATATGAAAGGATCGCGCGGCAAGCCCTTAGGCAACGAATAGGTGTTGACCCTTAGGAACGAGGGATCGACACTAAAAAGCAGTGTCCTTAAAAACATCAGGTGTCGACCCTATGGAGCAGAGGGTCGACCCTTAAGGGTCCCGAAGAGCAAAAAACTAGTGCAAATCACAACAAATTTCACAAGGAAGTATAATAAAACATAGGAACCATCATATATGAATACTTAACATGTCAAGTTCAGTTCGTATAAGATAAAATTATTCCTCATTGAGAGGCTTGATAAAGATATCAGCCAATTGTTGGCCTGTAGGCACAAATTCGAGTTTAATGCCACCTTTAAGTACATGATCTCGTAGAAAGTGGTGCCTTATTTCAATGTGTTTAGTGCGTGAGTGCTATATGGGATTTTTTGAAAAATTAATGGCACTAGTATTATCACATTTAATGAGAATGTGATCAAAATGAAATCCAAAATCAAAAAGTTATTGTTTCATCCAAAGTGTTTGAGCACAACAGCTAGCAGTGACAATATATTCTGCTTTAGCATAGATAATGCATCTGAATTTTGTTTCTTACAAAACCATGAAGTGAGTGAATATCCAAGAAATTGACAAGTCACTACAAGAATTTGCACATTTGGCGACCACTTTTGGCGACTAAACAAAATTTAGTCGCGAAAAAGTTGACTTTGGGAGACTAAAATATGTCTTAGTCGGCGTTGGTACAGTTTTTAGCTATTAAAATTTTTTAGTAGGGAAATATTATTTATTGGCGACTAAATTACCTTTTTGTCGGCAAAAGTGACCCTTTTAGCGATTAAAAAATTTATTAGCCGCCGTTAGTCTCAATTTTAGGCTACTAATTTTTTTTAAGTCGTTATATATGAATTTTTGCCTACAAAATAAATGGTAGTAGCCAAAAATAGGTATATTTTTTTGGTTAATCTTTAGCGACTAAAAAATTTAGTGGGCAAATACAAATTTTTTCCGACCAAATGGAGATTTAGTTGCCAAATATACATTTGGCGACTAATAAAATAGTCGCTGTTTCTTTTCCTATGGCTACCAAATAGGATAGTCGCCCATAATAACACTTTTGCCGACAAAACTTTCTTTTAGTCACTATATCTTCAAAATTTTTAGGGCACGCGCGGGGACTCTTTTAATGCTGCCCATCCCTTTCTCTATTACACACAACAACATTCAAACCTCAGAATCAGACACCAAACTGAAGACAAACACCTCACCACAGCCCACCGTACGGAAGACATTGCCACGGTCACGACCATCACCTCCACCGCAAAGCACCATCGGAACAACCACAGATCTCAGGTTCCCTCTCTCTCTCTTTCTCTCTCTCTCTCTCTCTCCCTCGTTCGCTCTCTCGATCTTGGTGTGTTTGTCTGTCCATCTCTCTCTCCCTCACTCACTCTCTAGCTGTTGGTGTGTCTGTCTATTATATCTCTCTCGCTCACAGTCTCTCTGTCCCTATCTTTTTCGCTTTCTCTCTCTGTCTCTCTCCATCTGTTTCCCCCTTTTCTGATTGTGGCTTTAGAATTTTATATGCTTAATTTATACTCAATTCAGTTGGTTTATATGCTTGATTAAGTTGATTTATTCTCTCAATCTCACTCTCACTCGAACCCATTTCAATACATCATTGTCTTGGTTTATATGCTTGATTCAGGTGTATTTACTGCCCTTTTTTGAAATGGGTTTGTCCATATGATGACTGTCCCCCAAACTAGAGTTGAGAATGCAATCTCAGCAGTGATTTTTTCATTGTAGAGGAATTAACTTAGGACCTAAACTAGAGTTCTGAAATGGGTTTGTGCATTTACTATTCATTTCTGAAATGGGTTTGTTGTTATTATTATTATTATTATTATTATTATTATTATACACTTTCAAAGAAACACCTGATATGGCCGAAAAAATCAAGGATCAGCATTATTGCTCTATATTATCCTTGTTTACCCTATCTAACATTTATTTTTCTTTTTTTGTTAGTGTACACAAGCATATGCAAGGAAGAAAGAAAGAAAGAAGAAAAAAAAAACAAATAAAACAAACCTATGGGAAAATCAATCTCAATTTCAATTTCAAGAGTTTTCAAATTAACTCCATCCACTTAAGCATGTCTTTGTCCCATTATTGTTTCCAAAGGTGGTCAATGTTGAAGTATAAAAGGGTTGTTCATGCAACCTGAGGTCCATGGAAAGAAAGGTTTTGTCACTTTTTTATGATGTATATGAATAGGCATTTAGAAAGTTAAAACTATAGACTTAAAAGCATAAACAAAAGCAGTTTGATTTATTAATAGATTCTTCTCTCTGAAAAGTGGTTTCATGGATTGGGTACTTGAAATACTATGACTGAAATTTGGTATGGAATATTTTTTAGGTAATGTTGGTCGTCTTCCGCAGTTGGTTCCTGATCAAACCCTCAAGCTAAAGCAACTTACTGTGCTAACACTGGCTGAGACAGACAAGGTATTTGTTTTTAAACTTTCAAATGTTTTTAACTTGTTTGTTGACTTAAATTGATGGTTAATTGTTTGAAATATATTGATTCACTTGTTTGATGAGTAATCTTGGTAACTTTAGTGTTTGAGTTAAGGGAAAGACTACTAAAATTTTCCGTTTTCAGAACTACATGGTGCTTATTTTTCGGAGCTTGGGTTTTTATTTGCAATGTAATCATCACTTTCCTGGCAAACCAATTTGATTAGCTTATGGCCTGGCATAGCCAATCAAAATCTATAGCATGCATTTTCACAAGGGTAACTCATCTCATTGTTAGAGAAAGATGCTCATTCTTTTGTTACTCTACATTGTGTTGGACTTTGTAGAGATGTTAAATTGTTAGTCCTCTTTGGAGTTGAATGAAATGTTAAATTCATTAACTAATTGATAGAATTTATTGGTCAAGTTTGTATATGGCATATACAAAGTAAAAGATTAGTATTTCAAGATTTCTTTCGATGAGTTCCATACAATGTATATTATTAGAAGGTAGTATATACTGCCCTACCAATACAAACTACAAATATACATGATCATTTTGTTTTGATTTTCTTGTTGTGTGGTCATATTTTCTCGAGCAACTCTGTTGCTTTATAGTTTGTAAAGCATTTGTTTTTTGTTTTTATTTTTTTATGTTGTTCATTTTATGGTTTTAAAACTATTTCCTAGTATGGTGGCAGACAATCCATAGGTTTTTCTTATACCATATATCTACTTTTGGAATTTATCAGGTTCTAATTTTTTGTTTTTATTTTATTTTATTTACTAAAAAACAAAAACCATGTTTGGTGCACATGTTTTCAAAACATGTATTAAAAAAAAACATATTTCTTATTTTTTTTAGACAGAAAACACGAAATTGGCAACATTATTTATAGAATTGAAATTCTTAGGCTCTAATTTTTGGTCCTTTCCCAGGATTTGCCCTATGATATACTGATGCAGGAGTTGGATGTGACAAACGTACGTGAACTTGAAGATTTTCTTATCAACGAGTGCATGTATGTGGTAGGTAATCCATCTTTGCTTTCTTATTTGACAACATGCTAGTTTTGAGATATACTACAACCCAACAAAAATCTGCTTAGTTGCCAACAGGGCAAGGAAGAAGTGGTGGTTTACCTCTCTCTGTCTGTCTCTTTTCTTTAAATCTATGTTTTTGGGGGTGTTCACTTGTGACTTGGACAGAAACAACTTATTAGTTTAATAACACTTCGATTCGTGCCATTTTTTTTTGTTTGTTTTCAGTGACAAAACTGGTGATCTAGGTTTTGAAAGTGTCTTGAGCTCTGGATGATGACCCTTCATTTGGTATTGTACAATTATTACTTTGCTTTACAATGTTATTAAGAATAGCTAGGTCAGTTGCATCACTAGAGGCATTGTCTCATCTCACTTAACCTTTTGGTTGGTTGTAGAAGGTTTATATTAGATTGGAACGCTTTGTCCTTTGCTTAGATGCAAATACAACACATTATCAGTCCATGATTGTCATAATTTGTGGCAAAACTAAAACAAAGGTTGCAAAATTTAGACTTGCATTATAAGGACTATTCATATGGGTGAGTAGTATTGAGTGGATGGCTGCAGCTCTGCCTTTACTTCATATGCATGGAAAAACTTCCCCTCTACTGATTGAAATTAGCTTTTTTGTCAGAAAAAGGGGCCCTTTAGTGAGAATCTTGATGTAATGAACAACATTTTTAGTGAAGGCACAACTCCAAAGCATGATATTCCTTAGAGAGAGTACAACTTTGAATAGCCCTGTAGATCAACCTTACATTTATATTGTGTCAGACCTAAGATCATTGCAAGACATTATGTGGGCACCCCTCATACCCCAAGGACTAGTGCCACGTAGAAAATATAGAAAATAAAAATCCTAGAAAAGAAAACAACAGTAATAATAAACACAAAGTACATACAAATTGTTGTGCTGGTTGATCAATCAGTGTATTATTCTTGCCTATGTCTCAGTATGTGCTGGTTGACATGACGCTGGCCTTTATTACTTACCATGCACATCATGCGTTGTATACCACATCTTTAGATTGCATAAAGAATGCCACGGGAGCATCAAATTGATTTTTAACTAAAATAAGATTTTTTGGAAAATTCATGTCTAATTAAAATCTTTTTTTCAGACTGTCTAGCTAGGCAACTAATTAATTTTGTTGTCTGTACTTTAAATCTGGCATGCATATAAGCCTGTTAAGATATTTGAATTGTCTAAGGCAACACAGCACCCACATATCAAAACAAACCCAATTTCTGTTATTCAGTCCCTGAACCACCGTACGGATGTCACGACCACCTTCCTTGTGACAAATAGGACCTGTAATAACAGACAGAATGCAATTAGCATGTATAGACAAGAATAACATTTTATTTTTACAAGTAACTTTTTTTTTTCTTTTTTTTTGTTAATTTTAATTTTTTCTAATTATTTTATCTTTACTCCATACGTATTTTGTTTGAAGGCTGAGGAAGCTGCTATTGCTACATTGAAGAGAGCTCTTGGTGCTTTGAGTGTTCATCTGGCTTCAAATACTTACCTGGTTGGTCATGCTGTGACCCTGGCTGACATTATCATGACATGTAACTTGTTTCCGGGATTCATTAATGTCATGACTAAGATCTTTACTTCTGAATTCCCTCATGGTGAGAGATACTATTGGACTATGGTTAACCAACCAAATTCAAAAAGGTAATAGGAGAGGTAAAACAGGCAGAGATCATAACTGTTGTGTCTGCAAAGAAGCCTACTCAACTTAAAGAAGCTGCTAAATAAAAGCCCAAGAAGGAGCCAAAGAAAGAAGCCAAGAAAGAACTAGCAAAGCCCAAAGTAAAAGATGTTGAGGAAGAGGAGGAGGCACCAAAGCCTAAAGCAAAAAATCCTCTTGATCTACTGCCCCCAAGTAAGATGATACTGGATGAGTGGAAGAGACTGTACTCCAATACCAAGACCAACTTCCGTGAAGTTGCAATAAAAGGTATAAATTCAATTATGAGCTTAATGTTACTTGTTGGAATCTATAGTAATACCTTTATACTGTATTTGAGCCTTTTTTTTTCTTCTTTTGTTTGTTGGCATATGAAATGTTACGAGCTTGAGATTGGTTTTTCTGACCTCTCTATTTGTTTTTGGTGTGTTCCACTTTCTTGTGTGCAAATGCCTCCACTCACTTCCTCCAAAAAAATAAATAAAAAATGATGCAGTTTTTCATACTTCGTGAATCATTAATGAAATCTGCAAGGTCAGTTGATAAAACATAATGATGATTCCAGTTTTTAGTTTGAGTGACTGCAGTTCTATGATTTTGTTTTTTTTTTCCTTCCAGTTTTTCAATACAAAGTCTGTAAGAGAAGAGCAGATCCTGAGAATATTAGTAATGCAGTGAAAAGAGATGGAAAATATTTGAATTTTGGAAAAAATAGGGAATTATTAGTGCAATGTGAGAATGAGTAGAATGAGTAGATAAGGAGATTCAAAGCTCTTAATCACTTTACCTGAGTTCAGTCATGGTTCTTAGATTGGCTGGTCATTGAATTTGTTGTTTGTTTCCCATTAGGGTTAGGGTTTATAGTTTGTTAATTTTTTTGATACATGTGTAGAAATATTATTCAGAATTGAAATATATGGACACAATTTATTTATTAGCTCCAAAACACATTAATTTTAAATGTGCACTTTATTCTCTATTTTATGCGTAAAACTTTTATTAAATTTTCTACATAACCAAAATTATTAGTGGTTTAGATTTAAAATTCCTCATGATAAACAGGACCTGTGGTTTAGATTTAAGAAATAGGAATATTTTGTAATGTACTTGGATATTAGGCTAAATTAAAAGATCTGGCTTCAAATACTTACCTGGTTGGTCATGCTGTGACCCTGGCTGACATTATCATGACATGTAACTTGTTTCCGGGATTCACTAATGTCATGACTAAGAGCTTTACTGCTGAGTTCCCTCATGTTGAGAGATACTATTGGACCATGGTTAACCAACCAAATTTCAAAAAGGTAATAGGTGAGGTAAAACAGGCAGAGATCATAACTGTTGTGTTTGCGAAGAAGCCTACTCAACCTAAAGAAGCTACTAAATAAAAGCCCAAGGAGAAGCCAAGAAAGAACCAGCAAAGCCCAAAGCAGAAGATGTTGAGGAAGAGGAGGAGGCACCAAAGCCTAAAGCAAAAAATCCTCTTGATCTACTGCCCCCAAGTAAGATGATACTGGATGAGTGGAAGAGGCTGTACTCCAATACCAAGACCAACTTCCGTGAAGTTGCAATCAAAGATATAAATTCAATTATGAGCTTAATGTTACTTGTTGGAATCTATAGTAATACCTGTTTAGTGCATTTGAGCCTTCTTTTTTTTTTTCTTCTTTTGTTTGTTGGCATATGAAATGTTACGAGCTTGAGATTGGTTTTTCTGACCTCTCTATTTGTTTTTGGTGTGTTCCACTTTCTTGTGTGCAAATGCCTCCACTCACTTCCTCCAAAAAAATAAATAAAAAATGATGCAGTTTTTCATACTTCGTGAATCATTAATGAAATCTGCAAGGTCAGTTGATAAAACATAATGATGATTCCAGTTTTTAGTTTGAGTGACTGCAGTTCTATGATTTTGTTTTTTTTTTCCTTCTAGTTTTTCAATACAAAGTCTGTAAGAGAAGAGCAGATCCTGAGAATATTAGTAATGCAGTGAAAAGAGATGAAAAATATTTGAGTTTTGGAAAAAATAGGGAATTATTAGTGCAATGTGAGAATGAGTAGAATGAGTAGATAAGGAGATTCAAAGCTCTTAATCACTTTACCTGAGTTTAGTCATGGTTCTTAGATTGGCTGGTCATTGAATTTGTTGTTTGTTTCCCATTAGGGTTAGGGTTTATAGTTTGTTAATTTTTTTGATACATGTGTAGAAATATTATTCAGAATTGAAATATATGGACACAATTTATTTATTAGCTCCAAAACACATAAATTTTAAATGTACACTTAATTCTCTACTTTATGCGTAAAACTTTTATTAAATTTTCTACATAACCAAAATTATTAGTGGTTTAGATTTAAAATTCCTCATGATAAACAGGACCTGTGGTTTAGATTTAAGAAATAGGAATATTTTGTAATGTACTTGGATATTAGGCTAAATTAAAAGAATTGGATACCTAGAGACAAACCTATGTAATCAGCCCCCGAACCACCGTACGGATGTCACAACCGGCTTCCTCATGACAAATAGGACCTGTGACAGTAGACGGAATGTAATTAGCACGTGCACGTTGGGTGTTAGAGCCGAAAACGCTTTAAACTTAACCGAAAAAGGGGCATTAAGGGGGCAAAAATTCTAAACAGCCTCCAAACCACCATGTGACTCTCATGGATAGCTTTCCCATGGCAAATAGGACTTGTGACAATTGACGGAACGTAATTTGGACCTATAGGTAGAAAGTTAGAGCCGAATACGCCCTAAACTTAGTTGAAAAAGGGCGTTTCGGGGGCAAAAATTCAAAACAGCCCCTGAATGACCGTGTGGCTCCCACAAAAAGCTTCGCTATGACAAATAGGACTTGTGAGAACTTACGGAACGTAATTCGGACCCGTAGGTTGGGAGTTAGAGCCAAATACGCCCTAAACTTAGTCGAAAAAGAGCTTTTCGGGGGGCGAAAATTCAAAACAGCCCCCGAACGACTATGTGGCTTACACAGATAGCTTCGCCATGACAAATAGGACTTGTGAGATCTAAAAAAACGTAATTCGGACTCGTAGGTTGGGAGTTAGAGCCGAATATACCCTAAACTTAGTCGAAAAAAGGCGTTTTGGGGGCGAAAATTCAAAACAACCCTTGAACGACCATGTGGTTCACACGAATAGCTTTGCCATGATAAATAGGACTTTTGAGAACTGATAAAACATAATTCGGACTCGTAGGTTGGGAGTTAGAGCCGAATATGCCCTAAACTTAGTTGAAAAGGGGCGTTTCGGGGGCGAAAATTCAAAACTG